GTGTTCAGTTTTGGGCCCCTCACTCCAAGAACGACACTGTAGTGGTGGAGCATGTCCAGAGAAAGGCAACAAAGCTGGTGAAGGGTCCAGAGCACAAGGGTTCTGAGCCAGCTGGGATTGTTAAGTCTGGAGGAAAGGAGGCTGAGGGGAGACCTTATCGCTCTCTCTACAATGACCTGAAAGGAGGTTGTAGCGAGGTGGGGGTTGGTCTCTTCTCCCCAGTAACTACTGACAGGGCAAGAGGAAACAGCCTTAAGTTGTGCCAGGGGAGCTTTACATGGGACGTTAGGAAAAATTTCTTCACCGACAGGGTTGTCAGGCATTTGAACAGGCTGCTGAAGGAAGTGATTGAGTCCCCATCCCTAGAGATATTTAAAAGATGTGTGTAGCTGTGTTGTTTAGGGACATGGTTTAGTGGTAGACCTGGCAGCGGTAGGTTAATGGTTGGACTTGATGATCTTAAAAGTATTTTTCAACCTAAAGGATTCTGTGATCAATCTAGAGAATCATACAGTATCTTCTGGAAGTCCAGAGGTATATGCGTTGTAAAATTTCAAACTAGCATGGTGATCTAACGTAGTGATACCATCTGAGCCCACAAATCATTTACAAGAAAAAGAGGCAAGAGAAAATTCTGAATCTTGTATGGCTTAGAGCATGTAGTGCTGTGACTGGATGTGGTTGAGCTTCATGCAAGAACACAGAATAAGGCCAAAAGATCAGGAAATACAGGTTTCACTACACATAAAAATGTTAATCCTCGAAATTCATTGTAAAATAAGTAAGTATTAAACTATATGTTAGAGATAATACGAAATCCAGTGGGAAACGGTATTGAGGTCACTGCCAGCACAATGACACATTAAACTGTGCACCCTGGCTAGGCATAATAGCAGTCAAGGCAACATGGTTATGAAAGTATTGTGTTTTAATGTAGGAGGGAACTGGCATTTTAGCTTTGGAACTGAATGATCTTTCTGTGATTAACCATATAATCCTAATGTCCTTTTGATATTAATATTCATACAGGTTGTTTTATGGGGTTGATTACTGTGTATTCTCTGTATAATGAGTGTAGTTTTACTGGAGCATTGTAATGTCTTCAGTTCATACCCCTTCTAGATTACCATTGGGGAGGGTTATTAAAGAGGTTTTTGGCTAGAGCAATCTATAAAACTTATCCTGGTTCTTCCAATATAAAATGATTAAACCATTTTTCTTTCAGGCAACATTTTGACAAACTGTACTCAAAAGCATTCCTCAATCAACGGTCTTGACTCATAGCTAAAAGATAAAAATATATTGTAAGGTGATTTTTTTTTCCCCCTTTCAGGCAATTGTACTTTGTTTTCGATTGCACTTCACAAAAGATAATATCACAAATAACACTGCAGCAGCCACAGTGCGGCAAGTAGTTACAGTTGTGTTTGAGAGAGTTGTTGCTGAAGATGAACGATACAAAGGTGGGCATACTTCTTATTCTACTTGCTTTGTATTAATCCATTTTTTGGGCACACATCAAATGTTTACCTTTTCAGATAAAGAAATAGTGAAAAGTCTATAAGCATTATAGTAAAAAAAATCACAGATATGATTGTTACTCTCTCTTATACATTTACTTGTATACAAAAGAGACTAAATACTTATTATGTCAGTCTAAGGCATTGCACCAATACATAAAATGAAGATTTTTATTTTTTTTCCAAACTGCAAGAACTGGTCTTCATATTAGTATTGTAAAGAAATTTGGGGTGAGAGTATCATTTAACATGAAGGTAACCTAGTCAGTGTGAAATATGTGGCAATAGGGGTTTTGAAGAGAACACTGATTGGAAGGAAGTGCTTTGTGTTGATGATTTTTGGCATACAATCTAATATTTATTTCTGTAGAGACCATAAGTTGCAGGGTTACCTGCCCATTCTCCTAGAATCTTTTTCTAAGAACACTTAATACGTACCTGGTTTTCAACAGCTCCTTTGTTCATAAAACTGTTTTTTTGTTTTTACACAGATACTATTGACCGACCAGTTGCAGTTCAAGGAAATAGTAACAGAAGATCTGTCAGTACACTGAAGCCATGTGCTAAAGATGCATATATGCTTTTTCAGGTAGTTGGGGAGCATATGTTTATACATTTGCAGTTGTGTTTGGGTGCTTCTACATCTCTTAATAAATTTCAAAAATCCGGTTTAGGTGTATTGACAAGATTCTTAACCAAATCCTCAGACTTTCTTACGTGCATTTATTGTAATTGACAACAATATGTTGTGGTCCAGGGGGGAGACTGGAAAATGAAGACCAAGTGACCTAGGCAAATATTTACTATAAATCTTAAATAATAGCTAAGCATGCGTGTGCACTTTAAATGCAAGATTCTTTTTTCCATTAGCCAAACACTGCAACTGTAGTTCAGTCTTGCATCTTGTGCTTGGTATTGTATATTAGAGCTGCATATATAATGAAAAGTAGTTTTATTCATCACACCAGATAGGAGATAATTTGGATGGCTGAAATGAACACAGTTGGTACAAGGATACTGGCAAAGTGTCTTTGCTGAAATTATCTAAAAGAAGTATTTGAGGAAAAATTATGTTGAAAATGGAAAATTACTCATTACAAAAGAGGGAGATTGTAGATTTTGTTGTAGAGTCAGAAAACTTATGTTGATAGAGGACTGTGCTGGGAATGCAAATGTTACTGTATTTCTTTTTAAGGATCTTTGTCAGTTAGTTAATGCTGATGCTCCCTACTGGCTCGTGGGAATGACAGAAATGACCCGGACATTTGGCCTTGAGCTTCTTGAGTCAGTCCTCAATGACTTCCCACAAGTGTTTTTACAAGTGAGTAGTTCCTGAAAGGAAAATCCAAAATCTTTTGTTCATATGGGTGGTAAAGTTTACACTTCGTTAACTTCTTTTTAATGTAGCATGAGTGCTACTTTTCAAAAGCACTTATAGATTTTACATGTTGGATTTTTATGGTAGAAAGTACTGTGTGCTTTTGGTCTGCTTTTTTCCTATTCCCGTGCACTTTATTTGTGTTTGTGTGTTTCGTAGAGCATGTTGTACTCTGTTTCACTTTTTCTTTTACCATTTATGTCCCTTCCAAAGATGCATTTTCTTATCATGCATGATTTATGACAGCTCTGTAACTTAGCTTGTGGCATTGTTGCTTCTATAAAAACACTGACCTCACCCAACTTGCAAAGCAGCAAGAATCATGACTGAGTTGTGTGGATCTGTTGCATATAAATGCACTGTGATCCCACAGTAACACATTTTAGCAGACAGTAGCTGAATAAAAAAAATAAATATAGGATAAATGATGTATTAGCAGCTTAATTCCGTTTGCAAAATACAAGAAAAGGGGTACAGGTATGAATCTGATCATGTAATTTCATCATGATTTTTGGTAGCTTTACAATGGTGTCTGCTGTTCTTCCTTTTCATTTCTTGAGCATGGAATTTGTACCAAGATTTAAATGACTTCAGAATGCTAGATTTTAACAGTAACTGTAAATAAGATGCATAATCAGAAGTACTGTTAGCAATTAAAGTGTAACTGCTGATAATTTGTTCTGTTTTCTTTTGTAGCATCAGGAATTCAGTTTTCTTCTTAAAGAAAGGGTATGCCCTCTTGTTATAAAGCTCTTCTCCCCAAATATCAAATTCAGGCAAGGTTCCAGCACATCATCTTCCCCAGCACCAGTGGAAAAACCATACTTCCCCATCTGTATGCGTTTGCTGAGAGTAGTTTCTGTTTTGATCAAGCAGTTTTACAGCTTGCTGGTAAGAATATGTTTAAATTATCTGTGTGCAGTTCTGTTTTTCTGTGTATATGCCAGTACTATGATAAGTTATAGTATTAATTAGTACTTGGGACCTGCTGATGTATACTGAGGGAAGAAAGGTTCTTTTCCTCTATGTGTATTTATGTTTACATGTTGTGATTTTATTAAGCATGGGCTTGTATAAATTCTCAGAGTAGATTAGCTGTTGTCTCTTCTGTGCTTAACTGTCTTTCAGTTAAGGTTTCGGGAACCTTTTGATCTTCTTATGTTGCTTGCTTGGCTTTAGATAATGTTGATTGCTGTGCCTTGTTAATAGTTGCTAAGAGATTTTTGACTTGTATTGCTAAAGCTGTTGACACAGTGTGCATAAAAAAATCTTCAGCTCTTCTTACCTCCCAAATTTTAGATTATTGCTAAAAAAGCTTGTTTACAGTTTTGTTTGTTCACTGTAGCACATGTAAGAACTTTAATGCAGCTTCTGTGAGGGAGTTAACTCTTCGATTTATTTGCATATGTGGTGTTAGCTTGGCAAAAATATTATATTAGGTGTATTTCTTTATAATTTTGAGTACAGGCTTGTTGAAGGGGGTTTTGAGATCTTATGCAAAACTTGCTGAGCTAGGACTCCTAAGATGAAGCAGAAGCTTTTTTCGAGATAATATTTTGTAGGAGACTTTTTTATTTAATTTAATGGCTATAAACTATATCTTTTAGGTAACAGAATGTGAAATCTTTCTGTCATTGCTGGTTAAGTTTCTGGATGCAGACAAACCACAGTGGCTAAGAGCTGTTGCAGTAGAATCTATTCACAGGCTTTGTGTACAGCCTCAGCTATTAAGGTATTAAATATATTCAGTTCACTTTTGCATAAAATTTAAGAAATATTTTTGGTTTTTTCCGGTAGAAAATGCTTCCTAAAACATTGCAAATATATAGAAACTTAAATGCAATAAACTCCCCGAGATAATTTTTGTGAAGCATTAGGCAACGCTTATTATCCAGAATTATAGTTGAGTAATCCAAACTCTCTCTGTCTTACCAGTGTCAAGGGAGCATTTACCTAAACCTAAATAATATTATTTATCTAAATATCTGCAGTTGAAACATGCTTTTAGTCTAGAGTTTGGGATGGGGGAGGGAAGTTTCTCTTAAATATGCTTTTAGTCCCTGGTTTGTCAAATACTTACTATATTGTATAAAATACTTTCCAGGTCTTTTTGTCAATCATATGATATGAAGCAACATTCCACTAAAGTTTTTCGTGATATTGTGAATGCGCTGGGTTCCTTCATCCAGTCACTTTTTCTTGTACCAAGCGCAGGGAACACGTCAGTGACACCAAACCAAACTGGTAAAGCCTTGTCCTTGCTATCATTTTAATTTAACAGCATTTTCTTATAGTAAATTCTGATTTGCTTCAGCATATACATTTGGCTTGATACAGTTCTATACTTCTGTGTTCAATGAGTTGAAAGGCTGACTTGAAACTGGTCTTTTCAGGTCTGGTACGACAGGTGACTTCATTTACCTGCGTTGTGGGGTAGACATAGCCCCAGGAGCAGTGCTCCTGCATTTGTATCCCCTTCCACAGCGACCAGGCTCCTTAGTTCGCAGCTTTTCTGAGGGTAGTATGTGTAATTTCTCATTATAACATATTCATCAGATTTCTGTCTCCTTGTGTGGAGATGTCATTTATGGCAGTGTGCAACTGAAGCAGAAAGACTGTATGTGTTTGCTTCCTCCTGGGGAGGCAAGAGCTAATTCTCCTGGATATTTAGGGACAAATATCCAAAGGGAGCCAAGAGGGAGAATGATCCGTGTTTTACAGATGACTTTTATTTCTTCTGTGAGCTGAAAACAGTCACTTACTGAAAGTAAACTTGATTGTCTTTCCTTGTAGCCAGGGTTTTGGCATTTCACTAGGTATATTTTTATTTCTCTGAGAAGAAATAGTCCTGCTGTGAATGTCTTTGCAAGGTTTCACGTGTGAGTTAAGACTCTGCTTCTTCCAAGGAGAAGGAGCAGAGGCCTCAGCAACAAACAACATAAAACTAATTTCTAAGGTATAATTTCTAAAGTATAATTATTATCTATCATATCAGAGCTGGACTCAGTCTTAGAGGTCTTTTCCAGCCCAAATGATTCTATGATCTACTGTTAAATAAATAAAGATTAAAAAGTCTGGGTTTAGGCTCACACCTTCCAGTGTTCACTCATGAAATTTGAATTCCAAGTTGGTGTTAGCATTGATAATGTGAAGAAATTTATGTCAGTAGCTGTTGTTCAGTAGCTGTCTGTATGGAAGCTGATAGAACACTTCTGTACTTAATCCTAGTAAGTGTAGACCCTCCTCCTATGTGTAGGATATCTGTATATACAGAATTCCTTGACATTATATCTACTTTTTTTGGCTTAAGTTGAAACTATAATTTGTTCCTTCCTAGCTGTTGGTTGGCATGTTGTCAGCTCCTCTCTGACGTGGTTTGTTTTCATCTATCTTGACATGGAACAGATTCAAACATTGCAGTTCTCCGAGTTTCTTCTTGTGGCTTGTGCATTTCTAAAATCTTTAAAGTTTGTGATGATTTTTGTTCTTGAAATGTTTAATCTCTCTTTCCTACTACTGAGTTCTAGATGCAACTATTCAAATAATCCTTAACTATTAAATATCTATCTGACCCTTGACTAGAATATATAAGGTTTTATTGAGACATGTAAGTTTAATTTGCTTACAGAATGTTATAAATACTGCTATACTTTTTACAGAAACTTTTTATTCTGACTGAAAATAAGGTGGTTGGCATCAATCAGCTCTGCCTTTTAAACTAATTAGTTTGCACATAAGATTATGTTTTAGACAGCAGAGGGAGCTCAAAAATAGTGTTTTGTGTTGTTGGTGGTTTTTATTATCGAGCAGGGCATCTCGCATAAATCCATGTATCTCAACTTAAAAATTAAATATAGAAAAAAGGATGTTTGTTGTTTACTAAAATTAGATGGGTTAATTTTATCACTTTGTTTTTTCTGAACAGGAAGCAATGCATCGGGGAATACTGGCTCAGCACAAACTAACCCAGGAGTGCTTGGAATGGGAGGAGGTGCAACTGTATTACCTGCCTTTGAGTACAGAGGCACTTGGATACCTATCCTGAATGTAACAGTACAAGGCAGTGCTAAAGCTACCTAGTAAGTAACTCTATCTTTCTGAAAATATTTGTGACAAATATTTTTATTTCCAACTTGATGGTTTAAGGATTTTTTCGTAGTGAATATTGAGGTCTTCGTGTTACTGGCCTTGAGGTATATTATGGATTTTCTTTTTGTCAGTGCCATGAGGTTTTCTGGGTTTTTTTTGCTGTTTTGTCTGAATGCTCTAGATTCGGATCCAAATGTCCCCTATGGCTTTAGCATCTGTTGGATTATTTTTTTCCCTGCCATGCTGTTGCTGCATTAGCTCTTCACTTTTAGGCCTCACTGCAGTATATAACACAGAATCACAGAATGTTAGGGGTTGGAAGGGACCTCAAAAGATCACCTAGTCCAGCCCCCCTGCCAGAGCAGGATCACCTACAGTAGATCGCACGGGAACGCGTCCAGGCAGGTTTTGAATGTCTCCAGAGAAGGAGATTCCGCATCCTCTCTGGGCAGCCTGTGCCAGTGCTCTGTCACCCTCACAGTGAATAAGTTTTTTCTAATATTTTTGTGGAACCTCCTATGTTCCAGCTTGTATCCATTGCCCCTTGTCCTGTCATTGGACGCCACTGAAAAGAGACTGGCAACATCCTCCTGACACTCCCCCTTGACGTATTTATAAACATTTATGAGGTCACCCCTCAGCCTCCTCTTCTCTAAGCTAAAGAGACCCAGCTCCTTCAGCCTTTAAGAATTCAGCCTTTAACAATTCTAGAATATCTTTTTCTGGGTTGTGTAATGGTAGACATTAGGAGTATTAAGCAAAATGGGACATCAGTGGGAATGAAAAATGACTTGCTTACACCAGCTTCACTGTATTTACAGTTTTTGCTGATCAGGATATTGTGGTAGATACTAGCCAGGTTGTCATTCCAAACAGTATATTGACCTGTACATGAAGATTAGACTGTGAATGCTTCTTAAAATGACCTATGATTTTGTCATGACTTTCTATAATGGAGATCGTGTTTTCAGTTTAGAGCTACGAATACTACCTTACTTTTGAAATAATGGAAGTTTTTTCATGTCAGTCGTGACTGTTGAGGGGCAGTCACTTTCAAGGTGGAAGTTACTTGTACGGTCTATGAAATTTTGGCATACTAGTACTCAGCGAAATCAGCAAATGGCCCGAGCATCAGTGCTTTTTTAAAGTAGAACCTCTTTATCTGCCTTTGAGATGCTGAAGGTCAAATTCATCCTCAGATTTCGGTAGTTTAACATGTGTGTGTTGTGTTGACTTTTTGTTCCAGCAGTGACCATGAAGGTTATTTTAGATTACATGACTGTTCTCAGGAAATGCAAATTTTCAACAGAAGTACATGAAAGTTAGCTCATGCTTTGATCAGCAGTTTTCCTTTCATTTCATACTTCGTCTGTAGTCCCTACATGTAAGGAGATGAATAGTGTGTCTGTAGATTTGGCTCATATCCTGGCATTGATTCTGTCCTCCTGCTGCCATTTGATTTTCATACAGTGGCAACATGTTGTGCTTTTACACAATGATTTAATTGGTGATATGAATTGTGAACAGGGCTAAGCAGAGGTCTTTTTGCCAGTGTGGGCCTGTCTCTTCCCAGACCACCATGCCTTGTCTTCCTCTGTGGGTGAGAAAGTGAGGAATGGACAAAAGACTATTCGAGATTTTTCATGGCCATTCCCATGTACGACAGGGTACAGAACTTGGGTGTTCTAATTGACAGTCGACTGAA